TTCCATACGAAATATAAAAATCAAGGATTTTGTATTTTATATTGCAGGGTATGTTAAATTATATTTTGTCCTTTATTTTCATACTTTATGTATTGTACTGTTTATCATTAAATATTTAATTAAAATACGAATGAATAAATAATAAAAAAAATTAGCTTAATATATGTTATGTATATTTTATTTTATAAATGAATACGTATATTGTATGATATTTAAATTTATATCTTTTTTTCATTTTTCACTCTTCTAGGTAGATAAAAAATACCTGAATAAAACTAAATAAAAAATGAATTGTTCATCAGACAGGAAAAATTAAAAAATGAGAGAACAAATGTTTTCAGATTCAGAGAATTCAAATAAGATGCAATACACGGTACGTTTAATCCACACCGCAACGTTAAAAATTATTCTATGTCTGTTCACTGCTGAAATAATATGTCTGTATCAGTAGCGCTTTGCGAATATTTACGAATTTGAATACAAAAACGAAACAGAATAAATCTGTTTAAGTAAAGTGTTTCAAATACAGTGTTGTATTGTATGTTTTGTGTTTGTTTTAACTAAAGTCTAACTTAAATCAAAAACAAAATATAACGTTACGTATCGAGAAAGATTTTTTAATACCCCCATCTACTATATTCACCGTCATACAGGGTATGCATAAAAAAATTAAATAATCGTAAGACATAAAACAAAATAAAAATATTCTATTCAAGATATATTGATTTCTGATAAGTGCCTTAAAAAGTTTATGTCATATTAAAAATTACCTTCAAATTGTAATAAAAAAAAAATTCGGTAAGTCGATTTACTGTATAGTAAGTTGCCAATATTTGAACTTTTATATCGAATAAGTCAGGATAAATCTATGACAAAATTCCAATATTTTAAGTATAATACCTTTAACTTATTATTATACATAATATATAATAATATTGTTATTAAACACCAATACACGTGAACTTATTTAAACAATAAACGACAATGTAAATGATGTAGCTAGATTTAAAATTGTAATTTGTAATTATAAATAAATATGTAATATACCTATAATGTATTCTGTTCGTAAGAATACGTCTTAACCCTGATGGTAGATGTATCATCTACCTATATTTGACAATGCACCTACTTTCGAATCGTTTTACTTCTATGAACTTTGGTGTTAGACACAGATTTTATCGTTGCGTTATTTAGATTAAAAACATTAAGACGCATTTTATATAACGTAGGTATTATTAAACTAATATTAATAAATAAACCTTTATCACAAAACAAATTCTAACTATGCCACGCCTATAGGTATATTAGACTAAACATCAGGCAAACAATAATTTTGATAAACGACTTTTCGGTTTTTATCAAAAAATATAATAGCGCTTTTCCGTTGTCGCATATACCTACTTACTTCTGTAAAAATCAAACTTAGTGTTAAGCTGAAAACTAAAACCAATAAAGGAGCTCGCTGTACTACATAAACTTGATGAATAATGATTAATGATAAATAATATGTAATATAGGAAGATCGGTACGTAATGTAAAATTTTATTATAACTGACATTGTGAATAAAAGTAATGACAATTATAATGTAATAAAAAATTTTCATTTCTGAACATAACTATAATTATTATAGTCTTCAACGTGTAGGTAATATGTTATAATATTGCTATGTTTATACAGTCGCAAGTATAATATATAGATATATTATATAGTTCCAAAGCGGAACGATGAATGGAACGATTATTATTTATTTTACAATGTCAAGTAGTTTTTTTTAGTGTTTCATCATTTTTTAAAAACAATAAAAATGCTTGGATTTTCAACTTCGATATCTTTTCTGGTAAAAAAAAAATTATTCTACGTACTTTAAGGGTCAAAAATCGAAAATTCTCAATACTCTCTTTCAAAATAGTTTGAATATTTAAAAAAAATTAACATTTTTGATTATATTTTTTTCACAAATAGTATAATTTCTATAAATAATTATAATAATTTTTGCTCGGTCAAAAAGTTTCCAAATTTAATACAAAGTTTCTCATGGATTGTTATTAGAATTTTTTTTTTTAAACATACGACAAAAATCTTTTTTAAGCGTTTGAAGTTTAAATTTTTTAGTCGTATATTCTAAAATAATGATGATTTCAAAAAGGGTGTCAAAGTATTATTTTCCTTGTATGATCCACAAGTCCGTTTCGTCTCATCGAAACGCGTCTTTGATTATAAATAGGTAGAAGGTATCGTTTACGGAAGTATATTCGGTTTCTATAATCTATAGCTGCTATAAGTTTCACTACAACGGTGATTTTGTTCAGCGAAGTCAACCAATCTAAGATTGCATGCCCGCCGCACGAGACGGATTTGCGTTCGTTTCATTGCGGTCCGGCTGTGGTTACGTCGGTCTGCTCCGAACTCCACGGGTATACTCTGTTATTCATCTGATTAAGTTATCTGATATAGGTATCTGGTAATGTACTAGCATATACCAACCATAATATATTAGTCATAGCGCAATCAAGGAAGTAGAGGAGGGTATATTATAAGGATTATAAATCTATCATTGTCGTAAGATAATATATATATATATATATATATATATATATAATATGTAATATGCACCTACACTGATACCACTGTTATAATGCAAAACCAATCACGGGATTTAGAATTATAAAAATACCACCGTCAACCGTTATTACAGAAATTATTAAGTTAAATTTACAGCGAATCTGTCAATAAAACAAAACAATGTAATTGAAAAAAACAAAAATTTTGATTTTTGATTGGTTTGAAATTTGGCACTCTTCGTGGGGGTTCGGACTGGAGTCTATACACCTTTTGGCGTGCCACCGAGTCCTTCCTGCTTTACCAATCGTACGTACCATATTTTGTATAATATACTTAGCATTTTTGTTAATTAAATTTAAAAAGCTGCCTAAAATACACAAGTTACCAAATAACATAATGGCATATCAATACGTAGATACCATTTTATAAACGAGGAAATACATTTAAAAAACAACAATAATACCCAATAATAGTATTTATTTATCTGTTCGCTAAGTATACATCATATAAGTACAATGTGAACCGTTAAATGTAAGATAATTTTTATTTCAGAAAACACTAATGTTTTTTATTTCACTTTTACTCGAAGCTAAGCAACTCGTTAAACACCCATCAGTGTTCCCTATAAATGGTGTGAGAATCGGAGATACTGTAGTGCGAGTTGCGTATGTACTAGAGCCTTAAATAGTGAGACTGTGAGATAACAAACGTAATGGTAACCGATTACCGCAAAAGCTAATTTACATTATTATTGATTAAAGGTTAGTCCATTGTGATTGAGATATATTTTTTGAGCTGATTATCGGTTTTTTGTTTTTTGGAAACGGTTTCAAACCCTGACCTAACAGTGGCGTACCTAGTCATGATTTCGTTCTGGGGGAGGGTTATATCATTTATTGGATAAACATAAAGTGAGGGGAGATTATAACTATGTCTTTATAAGTTATAGCCCACATTCTATATTATATCGGTGATTATAACATTATATGGTTATTTTATAATCTTATATCGAGTATAAGTTAATGCATTAAAAATTTAAAAAAAAAATATGGGGTTTCTATCCCCTTATCACCCATTAATATAGGGCGATCATTTTTATAAAAATAAAAAATGGAATAATTTTTTAATAATATGATAATTTTTTATTTTTTCCAATTACATTTAAATTACAATTTATTAAAATAATAAAATGATAAATAATAATTATGATATGTTGTACTTAATAAAATTGTTTTATGTTTTTTTAATACATTGATATTTTTTTTACAAACATAAATTAATAATATGGAAATAACGGGATAAAATAAGCGTCCCATTCAAAATTTGTTGGGACAGCGGGACACGATTATCAAAAAAGAGACAATCCCGTTTAAACGGGACATATGGTCACCTTACATTACTATGCCACTGTGGCCTAATGTATTTAAGTGAACATTCGTGTTATTAGCACATAAAATAATTAATATTTACATGTGACATGTAGGTTAAGTACAAAAATAAAATGAGATGTACATGTTTTCAAAATATTTTCCCTCCACTATTCCCTGAAACTTAACAACTGCCCTCGAACACCGTTAAACAAGATTTAAACAAGAGAATGATATAACTTCTTAACTAGAACAAAAAACTTAACTGAGCCTATATCACATTAAAAACAAACGCAAATCATTAAACCTATGTTTTCATTCCCTGAGATATCTCCACAGTTCTAAAATACTATTAAACCATAAAACTAGGTACTAATATACAAACAAATTATACACCCACCCATGTCTTATACGGTATTCAACTTTGGGGATCGGCGAAAAGATCAAATATTTCTATCCTACCATCTTTCCAATCAATTAACCTACGAATAATAACAGATGCTCCATGGTAAATCAGTAACCACACCCTCCACAACGACCTAAACATTCCAACACTTCCTGAACTCGCACCATGCTACTCTAAAAAATTCCACAGTGGCACACAAAACCATCCTAACCTCTTAATATCTAGTCTTTATAATCCCTCTAACCCTATTAATCTCTTACGCCGACTTAAAAGAAAATAGGCTAGAGACCTACTCTAACTCAGTTTAGCAGCACATTTATTTCATACATATTTTATTTTTTTTTTGAAATGGTGTCAATGGACCCCTTTTTCTTGTATGATATTTAGGCGCTCTATTATACTGTCTAAAATAGTATACTTATTGTATAAAGTATACAGATTGTAATATTTTTTGAGTTTCAAGGAACCTATTACATATTATACGTATTAAATTCTCAAGCCACAATAAAACAACTTTAATTTTTTATTTTTTTATTAGTTGATAACAAGAAAAACATATGAATAAAACATAATACTATTTAGTTTATATCAAAATTACTTAATACAAATAAATAATGAGAAATTAAAAATTAAGCTCAATTTATTTAAAACAGATGTAAAATAATGAAAATATAGGAACAAATATTATTACCCATCACTTATTTAAAATTTCATAGTTATTTAATTAAAAAACAGTCTTGAGGTTGCATTTTAAGTTGTTTACAAATAAAACTAAAAATTAGATAATTTAAAATTAAAAAAAAAACTGTACAACACATTTATTCATTGATAAATAAACCATGCTGTGGCAACTATTTAGTGTTGTAGCATTTGAATTAAGACATTGTTGTGCCATGAATTATGATTTAATTTTTGAATTGTACATTTTCATTTTTTTGACAATTCTTTATCTGAAGTTAACAAATTTTCTGTATAACCGTTTTCATCTAACAATGTTCTGTTCAAACATACTGTTAGTTGATAATCAATTTCATTTTCTTTATCATTAACAGGGATACATATTTCATCAGGATTATCAGGATTAAGTTTAAGAGTAGTATTAGAACTACAATTTTCTTTTAAAGATATATTACTATTATTTTGAACAAAAGTGTTATCATTAACTATGTTATCGTTGAATTTATCACCATCATTGAACGATTCATGACTTTTTGAACTGTATGTTAATGTATTTTCTGTTTCATCAATATCTTCTTCATTGATTACAGAATTATTTCGACCTGTTTTGAAGTCCTGATAAACTGTACAGTCTTCAACAATAATGCTTCCATTGCAACTAGAAGAGATTTCCATATCTTCATTCTTAATATAATCAACTGCTGTTTTATATAAATCCGAATTTGAAAGTACTGTGCTGAAACTATCCACTTGTATGTCAGATTTTAATTCTAAATTTTTAGTCATTGGAGTAGAAAAACAAAGTTTTGTTTTTTCAGAATTTATGATAGCATTCCAATCTTCATCATCATTGTCAACATTTGCTGTATTTTCCAATAAACTGTACTCTTGTCCACTATTATTTGAAGAAGAATCTGAATCTGATTCATATTCATCAGAACTGAATTCTGGCTTTTCTTTTATCATAAACCATTCTCCATGATCATTTTTTGTGGTAAGGTAGACTTTGTTGACAATATCTCTATTTTATAAAATTAAATTTATTAATATATAACATATTAGTAGATCTTAAAAATTATAGTATCAAAAATTATAATGTACTAATATGTACTTCATAATATCTAAAAATAAAATTAAAATATAAGTTAAATAGTATAAAAGTATATGTAGGTATAAATGTTCAAAACATAAAACTTTTTTTATAAATGCATTAAATAAATTATAAATAAACAACAAAAATGTACCTAATAAAATATAATTTAATGAGTCAATATTCAATCATATATCAAGATATATTATGTATTATGTGAAGTTAGTGAAAATGGGGTTATATGATTTTGTACACAATATATGTATACAGTGTATTTATAGAAGGGGTATCAGTTCCAATAAAGTTAAAATTATAATTTTTTATTTTATTAATAGTTCATTTAATGTAGGAAAATATTAGTCAAAATTGACAATCAATAAAACCTACACCTATAATAGATATATATTATTATTTTAAACTTTGATTACATTTTCATTATTTAACTGTTCAATTATTAAATTGGTACCAATGCAAGTGGATCTACCATTATTTTTTCTGCTTATTAAAACTCACTAGTATCAGAAACTAACTTAAAAAATACAAGTAAATAGTACGTACAATTCATTAAAATAAATTTTACTAACTATCAATTTAAGAAAAAAGCATGTTATATGAAATCATACTAATATTAATAATAGTAAATAATTTATAAAATTAATGAATGCATAAAAATGATTTAAATATTATAATTATTATAATTACTTTATAACTCATAACAAAAGGTTGTGTTTGTGTCATTTAGATAATCATCAATAGTTAAATACTATAATAGATGCATAGGTCTTAACCATTCTTTCAAAAGAAGCGCCATTGGCATGAATAGAATATTAGTTTCTTAATAGTTTAATACACCCTTATTATTAGTGGTTAGCCCAAAAAATTTATTTGAAAAAATTAATAAAAACTATAAAAGATCATTACCAGTGAATTTTATAATGTAGATGGCAATTGACACTGTTTTATCATTAAATTAAAATATAACCAAACTTAAAACATTTTATTAATTAATCAATGATCTAATCAACCTATACAATCCTAACTTAATTGGTGATCAATTTTTTCAATTTATATTTGTTTAAAAAGTATATGTAAATTATTTATGTTAAATATTATATAATCCAATACATAGGTACTAACTCTAATTTATCAATAGATGAACAGCAATCCGAAACAAATGGCATAATATCATTTAATGGTATTTCCATATATTCACCAACTATATATTTGTTAATGCATGAAGCTTCTGAAATAAATTTTCTTATCTTTTCATATATAGAACGTGTCCAAGAATTTTCATCATCAAGTTCAAATGGATAGTCAACACGTCTCAACAATTTGTAAGGAGTAGAACCCTGAAAATTTAATACTATATTAACTATTTATACAATACATGATTAAATTATATAATATTATTATACTGATAAAAATTTGGTTGGATTTGATTATTGATTAAATATATTATACTGACTCAACAAATTTTGTATTGCCAGAAGATTTTATTTTTTTTTTTTTGGCAGCGGCACTTAACCAAACTTAAAAAGTTAATATGGCTTCAATAGCTTTTGTGGTTTCTGAGATTATTAATACTAATAAATTTCTAATTGTTTTTATACTATTAAATAATATTTTTACTTAATTAATAGAAAATAGAAATAGACTAAATGTTATTTAAAAATTAAATTTTTTGTTAGAATACAATTTTATAATAATTCTAAAAATATTGTAAATTAAAATATATTTTTATTTATCATGTTAAAATAAAAAGCATTTTGGAACATGCAACAATATTTTTTTTTATTTTTTTTTTTCTATAAATAAATTGATAGTTCTCAATAGAAATTACATATTATTATACATAAATACAAAAATTTTAATTTTAATAAAATAAATAAGTAAAATATGTATCATCAATTAATCCTAAAAAAAGGAACGAAGGCACAAGATATTGCTTGTATATAAGTTCTAGGATTTAAAACATTAATACTATTGCCAAAACCCCAACCAGGGTTAAATATGAGATAAAAATTTCAAGAAACAACTAAAAAATATGAGTGAAACAGAGAATTTAGAAAAATATAAATGAAATGTTATTGAAATAAAGAAAACACTTGATTAATAATAATAAAAAAAAAAAAAAAACAAAGAATTCTTCATATAAACCAATATTTGAAGTATATATGTATGATCACAATAATTACTATCTAAATTACAGTAGTCTTGCTGACCTGGCTATTGTTAGTCCGGAAATTTATATTTTATACTGTACTTATGTATAAATACATACACATACATATTATATAAAAATAATTTATGTTAATGTCAATTGTTACTATAAGACATATATTAATTAATAAATATATATTCTTAGGTTCATATGTATGTAAACATATATATAGTATAATTGTAGGTGCCTCTACAAAAATATTTAATAATAAGTTGAAAAAAGTTATTAAGTTTAATCCGGATTTTCAAAAATACAGTTACAGTCCAGTCCCATCTAGTCTGGATCAGCAAGACTCTACCGTAATACAATTTTTTTTATTATTATTAATTATTAATGAATTATTCAATACAATATCTACATTTTTATTTTTAACTTTCATAAGATATTTGCCAAAGTAAATTTAATTTAATTTTATGTTTAGTGTAAAAAAGTAATAAATGGTGGATTTCACAATAGTCAGAATAGTTAGCTGCTTTAAGTGGCAAAATTTAGGAAGTCAAAAATTCTGTAATACTTTATTAAATTACATAATTTATATAAAAAAAAAATAAAATAAAAATTACATTGATGAAAAATAATTGTTTAATAATGTATATAACTATTTTGATTTATTATAAATCATATTACCATGATAAATTTATAAGAATAATCTAAAAGTATTATGTCTATAGTAGAAAAAACAATTTTTGATAATGATAAGTATAAAAATAGACTATGTGAGCCACTAAATTAAAATACTGGACGTCAGCCATGTTAGGTATAATATTTAAGAATGAAATGTCGGTGGTATTGCTGTTATCGGAAGCTGTCTTTTTCAAAGAGGAACAAATTTAATAATCCGAGTATTTTCTTATTTCATTATCACATGAAGAATATAAACTTATTACTAATCAAAAAAAAAAAAATTATTAATTTCTAAAACTAAAATGGTTAAGTTAAGAATTGTTATACAAAAATATTTATTAAATCATTTTTAAATTTTTATTATTATATAAAAAAAAAAAAATGTGATGTATTACTTAATTTTTCAGACTATAGTTTTAATTTTTTTCTATTAATGGTGTTTCTGGATAAGACGCTCAAATTACAAATTGCTAGTTCAAGGAATTATCTTGAAGTATCAAAAAAAAAAAAAAAATTGTTTTACAATAAATGAAAAAAATGGAAAACTAAAATATTCTAATCTACAATTATCAAAAAATTTATAATATTGATGTAAAATAATTAAATGGTAATAAATCACAATCTAACAATTTTTTTTTATTATTCATTGGTAACTGTTCTAGTGTAACACAATTTTATTCATAAAACATTATTTTTAACAGGCAGAGAACTACTTTATGTATGTTTTATTTAATCATATTTTACCCATAAGGATATTGATATAAATTTGAATTAACTGTTTTAATTTTCTATTTTATTAAATTATCAATATGTAATTACTCATGGTTACTTAAATAATAAAAAGTAGGTAATTACACAAATATCTCACAATAGGTTTAACTGGTGATGTTGTCATATCTTTCCTATAAAAAATAGCTATTTGACTACAACAACCAATATTTTCTGTACCAGAAGGACCAGCTCCAATACCATCAAATTGCACAGCATACTCTGAATAACGGTTAGTTATTTTTTTAGCCCTATAAAAAAATTAGTATTAACATGAATATTAAATAAATATATATTCTTGTTAATGATTACCATTCCTTGAATTGTTTTCTAGTCCATTCAAACTTGTGGTCATCATTTCTAAACTGTGTTGTAAAATTTGGAAATAGAATATTGAATTCCACATTAGGTGTCGTGAATATAGCTAATTTTGGTTTAATGAATTCAAACACAGTATAGGGTAATGCATCCAGAACATCCAAATATAAATGTTCAATTCTGTAAATAAAAAATAATATATTAATAGCTCAAATTACTAATAAAATTCTATAGCAAAAATTTACAATTCTATACATATAACTGCATCAATTCCTAACATCCTATCATCTTGGTCAGCTATACTCCCATTATAAATGTCTACTGTCAACGGCTCTTTACGTAAATGCTTTGATAAATAATCATAGGTAGTTGGCAACACTTTACATTGATTTTTATCCAATGTATCAAAATCCACATCGACAACCATGATGTTGTTGAGCCCTGGAATTGGTTTAATACATCTAAATAAACCAATTTCAGCACAACCAAAATCAACAATCTATAAATTACATTTTAAAAATATAAATATGTTAAGTATATTTATTATAACAAATTTACAATTTGTAATAACCATACTTTTTTTATTGAACCATTCCAAATAGGATGTTGAATTATTTCTTGTATAGCCATGTATCTTTGCATATACAATGGTGGCCAAAATTTCAAACTATATCCATTCAATGTACATGCACATGATTGTTGACTGATAATTTCTATTATTTTGTCACCCTAAAATTGTTAAATTAATATTAAACATAGTTACAAGTGATAAATTTTTTTTTTAAATTTACACAAAAATTATAAATTTATAAACGATAATTTCAACACTAATAAATTCTATTATCTAATAAAATAACAATTCTTACTACTTTGAAGTAAAAAAAAAAAAATCATTAACAATTACTTACAATATACACACTCACATTTAAATACAATACTATTACATAATATTATCGAACGGTAAAAAGGCAAAAGGGCGACATGATGTATACTATTGGACAACTGACAATTAAAGCATTTAATCGGTACAAGCAACATGTATCAAAAATAATGATGTATAGCAGGGGCTAAATACTAAAAATATTAGATAAATACCAAAAACCCAATACCTGATTGTACCTACTAGGAAATAGAGGTTAAGGGATTCTTAACAGCTTGATATTTATCCTTGATTTTCCTTTTATCTATGCATTTAATATAAACAATAAGTAATTCAATTTAATACTGAAATTAATTAAAAAACCAATTTTTAAACCTTCCTTATCTGATTATTAATACCATTTTTAATTTTTATTTATTATTATTCTATCTTTAATTGTTAAAATAAGCAATTAAAAACTTAGAACCTAAGTAAAATAAAATCAAAATGTAAAATATATAGATTAAGAAAACAAAAAAAAAAACGAATAATTTTTACTATAATAGTCAATAAGTGATTACATCTTAGCCTTGAGAAAAAAATCTTGAATTTTGCTATTATTAGGTATATTTTATTCATTCTAATAAAAAATAAAAATTACTGTATATGACATATGTGTATTAAAGTTACCTTATTTATGATGATAATTATAATAAATTCTAAGTGAAATCTAATCGTTAAAAATATTAAAAAATAATTATTTTTTCATATTTGTTTATGCACAATATTGTTTACCTTAGAATCGGATATTTTTTCGCCATCGTATAAATAACGGTTAATAATAGACTTCAAATATCCCAATGAGTCATTGCAATAACACAACAGAATACTCTGTATAACTAACATATTTATAAATTATTATTCACAACAAATAATGTAAGAATTAAAACCAATGCATTGGATAAACAAATTAGAAATTATAATATCCACAAGTTAATGTAATAATCAAAACCACGATTCTATTGATTTTGTCGACTGTTAATTGTAACAAAATCGTGATCGTCAAGCATCATAATATGCTAGATAATAATAGAACACTGAAATGTTAACATTTAATTAAAACAACTGAAAAATGAAAAGAACACAAACGCGTCACGCTACACTGGCACATAGCATTTAGATTATTTAGAATACTGGTTACACATTAACAATGTCGCATGGCCAGTAAACAACAAAACAAATGTGTTATCAATTGAAGCGTTAGACATTTCGTGATAACGCTCAACGGCTATATACATTAGTATCGTCTTTGGAAATTAAAATAATTTTATCATTAATATTTTCTAAGTTAAATTCAAATATTTAAATATTTTATACTAATGTAGAAACTAAAAAGACATAATCATTAGTAAAGGTCAAACGAAGTCAGTTTCAAATATAATATTAATAGAAAATGAAAACGTAATATCTTGTATACATTATTAAGTACAATATAATTTAGATAGGTACGCAAACCTTACTACAATGAGGAAGTCCACTCAATAGGTAGGATTACAAAGCTAACATTAACCGTACTTGGAAATGTATATACGTATATACAAAACCGTTAGAAATACAACAATTATACACATACTTATTGTAAATTGTTTAAAATTATTTTCCCAGTCCCGCGTTTAAAAATCAAAGGATAGTATATTATTACCTATAGTATATGTATATAATATAAAAGATTAATAAAAGATTTCCATAAAAATTCATCATTTTGAGCACCAAATCTATAAATATAATTAAATATTAATTTATTATGTAATATGTATAAATAGAATACCGGATATTTGAAACAGTAGCGTTTTTCTCCGAAAAGTAAAAATAGTTCACCTACAATATTCGTGAACAGTAGTTTTTATATTATTACTATATACCTACTGTATTATAATGTATTATAGTTAATAGTTATAATATTGCTTGTATGTTGTATGATACAGTTTACTGTCAGACGTATTGCCGCTAAAAATTGAGTTTTTCATTTTATTTATATTTTTGTAGATAAAGGAATCCATACAATACCACGTTAATCTACGGGAAGTTGTCCTCCGTGAATATATATTTAATTACATTATTATCTATGTGCGTATAACAATTTCGTATAATGCCATCAGTCGTAAATGCTTGCTTGACACGGTACTTAAATAGATCTGTAAAAACGTTCAGTTTTCAGTTCAAACTTAATTAAATGTAAGTCGGAGCTTATGATTCTCCCCCACACACTACTTTTTTTGTAGATCAGTCTAGTGTGGTGACTTGTGTTGAAATGATGTCTGACGATTTATGGTTAAATTGAAATATGAACAAGTCAAAAAAATACACAAAATGGGTCAAAAATGTATTGAAAAACGAAGTATTTACTCTCATGTAAATTTATTTAACGATTTACGCCTAGGACCACATGGTTGGCGAAATTATTTGAAAATGGATTTTGAACTTTTAAACTTTGTAATATCATTTATATAAAAAAAAGATACTGTAATGAGAAAGACCACCAATCTATACAAAAGAAGTTGCTAATAATTTTGTGATTTTTCAATTTTTGGTGACTGTAAGAGGTATGCAAGATTTTAAGTAGGTACTCTGTAGTTATATCACCTTAACCACTTGGACAGATTATACTTGAAACTTGTACTGCTATTTGTAATGTTTTGTGGAGAGATTATTTGAAAATAAATAAGTATTTTTTTTCATTATCAATATACCTACTTGTTTGCATATAATATTAATTATTTTCACTTTTCGCGTTATTATTTAGTTTCCAAAGTCAGACGATGAATGGAAAGAAATTGTAAGAAAGTTCGAGTCAAAATAGAATTTTCTTCATTGTTTGGGAGCAGTTGATGATAAAATATATATCCATAGTATTTCCTCTAAAAATTGGTTCGTTTTACTACAACTAGTTTATTTTTTTTAAACATTATAATACAATAACAACAAAACATTTATTTTTTATGATTAAAACAAATTTAACTTCCAAATTAAAATTGAAAAAACCATTATTTTTTTTACATATCTAATTGATTTCAAATAAAATAAAATCATAATGATTGATATACTATTCCGTTTTAAAATGCATAAAAAATGATACGTGCAAGTGCAATACGTTCACAATTTATTTAAAATTCACCTATATCAATTCCTATCGTTTCTTGTCCATTTTTGTAGGATTTATCTTCATTAATTAAATTTGAAATTGAAAAAAAGTGTGAATGTTTCGACAGTAGAGGTTGATAGACATGGTTAAAATGTTGTTCACTATCATGTAAATACTATAGCGATCATGTAGCTGAGATAGGTATAGATTTGTCAGTAATTGAATTGTTAGCTGCAGTGTTGAGAGCATTTTGTTCTGACATAGGGGGAATTTCTAAACGTGCGTACCTACCTGTTTAATGTGGCTAACTACTTCAAACAAGGCATTTTTTCTATGTAAATTCTCATCATTGGATCAAAAGTACGTAATTTTACCCATGACGTTATGGGCATCCTTAGGGTTTTAAAACTTAAGTTTTTCTTTAACTAAAGTTAATTTTTCATCAGCTTTGTTGTTATTCTCCTCTAAAAGTTTTTTCTTTTGCGATTTTTAGTTAAGAAATATTCTTAACTGACTTTATTATACTATTGTTAATCTATGAAAAAAATTCTTAAACTTATTGCATATTTTTATAATTAAATATTTATTTATTTTAATACATTTTATAAAAAACAATATTATACCACATTTTCCCAGTAAAATTTTTTTATAAATTTTTATTTTATTTTTTAATTTAATTTGTACAATGAAATTATTATTATAGTAATTATTTAGTTATGTCAAGTATTACCTATTTATTTACATTATAATTTCCTATTAATTTTTAAATTAAAACAACGTTTAAAAATATAACAATGTAAAACGGGAAAAAAACAAGTAATGTTAAGCAGTGAAATTGTATAATGTTATACTTAAAAACGTAAATATTTTATATATTTTTTTAATTTAAGCCTTTATATTTATAAATAATAAACTGCTAACTACAATTTCAGTATGTAATATTAAGAAGAAAATTATCATGTTTTATTTTATGCTTATGTCATAGTTATACTATTCTTTATCTTAGTTTATTAAAATAATCATTGAATTCAAAATATAAGTATGTTGAAGTGGTAATTTGAGTTTATAAAAGAATATCGTAAAAAATTAAGCGCCAAATTTATAATTAATAACTATTTAAATATTCAAAATTATTGATGCCAGCATTAAAAATTAGTTTTTTCTATCAAGTATTATCGTAATATTATCATAATATCATATTACTTTTACACTATAATTACATATCTCACTGAGAATATCAATAAATTCTGGTTAATCACTACCAATACTTGATTTGGGCATTTTGTAATTCTTAAAAAACATCAATAAATCAAAGTACTATAAGTTGAACTTGTAGATATCATCTGCACTAGCGCTCGATTTCGTTGTACGAGTGATACGACTACTTTTTTATACTCTTGTGGAAATAACTGTGTAATGAGTTAATTTTTTTCACGTCTTGTCTATTTGAGTTGGGGTTTATTTCTTTTAGTTTGACAAGTAATATATCATAAGCATCGCTTTTTTTATTTTTGTCACTATATTCTAAGGACTTAAATTTTCCATAAACATGGGCATTTCTCGGTAAAATTTAATAAATCCATTCAAAATCTTTTGTGGCTAATTTCGTTTACTATAAAGTATATTTAAAAATAAGAGAAACTTTAAATTTTAATAAAGTAAAATACTTTAATAGTTAAATTTTTATATTTATTTTATTTTCTGAGCGAAGCGATAAATAATGTATTGACTTTACAATGATGTATGTTTTTTTTTTTGTGCACAATAATTAGTAATCGAATATCTTAATCAAGTATATATGCGATTCTATGGTCAGTGGGGTAGTAGGTCACTAAATAAATCATAGATACTTAGGATTAATGATGACCATATTCGGATTTTACAGCAGAGCGGTACCCACTTGCCTACCTTTTTAATTAATTTATTATACATTATATTACAGTATTTCTAAATGATAATTTAACTACAAGCGTAAGTGATAGATTTGATTTATATATTGTGATATTATATACAAATGTATACGATAGATATACATATTAGGTATATATAGCACATATTCACATTAATTTCCTTTTTCTCAGATCTTCGCTTTAAATCTGTTCCTAAAATGAATAGCAGTACTGTCAAACTTTAAAATAATATCATACTAATAAGACACAGTGAAATATTGATTTAAACTCAGTAACAAACGTGAAACACGAGTGATGATATCAGCGTTGACGTCACTACGATGACAACAACGTGGGAGTTTGAGTAGATATACGTAGAAATATATGACGAGTTTGTGATAACGTTGTTAGAAGCGCTTATTTATATAATATTATTAATTATGTAGATTGTAGGTATTATTGTAAATATGTTTTCTAGGAAACAAGTATTCCTTAGTCTCTATCTGTTTGAAAAATGTTGCCAAAGACAACTTAAATAATAAAACATACATACCTACGTAACGTGACAACAATAATAACGGAAAAGTGGAAACGCTCAAATATTTTATGAATTCACAAATATCAAGGACATATCATACATAAGTATAAGAATATATAATTAAGACTTAACAAAAATTAGATAAATGTATTTATGTGAGTAAATATTTTACAAAATTAACGATAAGTAATATCAGTCAATGATTATATAAATAATTTGTATTTTTAATATTCTAATTGTATATTACTTCTATTATAATAATTACAAATATGTATTGTATAGATACAATTTAAAATTAATCGTATTAAAACATATTTCTTTTTTAAAATTAATTTATTGCTATAATTTAAATATGTTGTAGTATAGTTATAATTTAAAAATAATATAAAAATAGGAATTTAGGTTTTTTTTTTTTTTAATTAAATACTTTTTTGTCATACTAAATTGATCAAAACACACAAATTGTGTTATTAAAATTAATATTTTTAAGTTTTATGGAAAATTTAATCGAGTAAAATTCAAATATTCCACGTTTTCAATCGAGTGCAATTCTAATATATATTTTTTAAGTTTTGAACCCGAATAGCGAGTCCAATAACATTTGGAAATTTAGTTTCGATAAGCACTTTGGAGTGCAGTTA